AGTGTAATTCTCATCCTAAAAATAACAATGTAATAACTTGTTTAGTTTGTGGAAAAAGGGTCATTTTGCAGTAAACTGTTTTCAACTTAATAAATTGATAGCACCAAGACGAGAAAACTCTTTTTATCCAGGGCCACGACAAATTTTTTCAAATCAAAATCAGAATCGATTCAACAATCAAAAACCAATGTTTAATAAATTTCAAAGTCAAAACTTTTACAAAAGTACAAGGAATAAAAGAAGAAAAAATAGAAGAAACTCAGGAAAATCAAGAAAATATAATGATATGTGTGCAAGAAAAAATTGAAAAATATATACATTGTGTAGCAAATGAAACTAAATACTATTTGAATTTGGAGATAAGAAAAGTCTCCCAACTATTGAATAAATATTTAAGGACAATGAATCCTACATGAATTTGGAGATAAGAAAAAGTCTCCCATATATTGAAAAAATAATTAATGAATGCTACATGAATTTGGAGATAAGAAAAGTCTCCCAACTATTGAAAAAATATTTAAGGACAATGAATCCTACATGAATTTGGAGATAAGAAAAAGTCTCCCACATATTAAAAAAATAATTAATGAATGCTACATGAATTTGGAGATAAGAAAAGTCTCCCAACTATTGAAAAAATATTTAAGGACAATGAATCCTACATGAATTTGGAGATAAGAAAAAGTCTCCCATATATTGAAAAAATAATTAATGAATGCTACACGAATTTTGAGATAAGAAAAGTCTCCCAACTATTGAAAAAATATCTAAGGACAATGAATCCTACATGAAATTGGAGATAAGAAAAAGTCTCCCATCTATTAAAGGAAATTATTATACAAGTAAAGAAACTTGTAATGTCATAACAAGAAATCAAAGGAAAATACAAGAAAATGATAATCAAGAAAAGAAAATACAAGAAAAGAAAAATGAGGAAATAAAAGCACACAAAACAAAGAAATAAGGTAGACCGAAGAAATATAGCACACGTTTGAATACCTCCTTTTCCAAGAAGAGAAGGGGAAGACCGAAAAAGGTATGTAATACAAATAATAATAGAAAAGAAAAATTTTACAATGAAATTATTCCTGACGAAATTGAGTCAGATCCTGAGTATATTAATGAAAAATCAAAATTGAAGAAACACGAAGAAATTGACCAAGGCTATGAAAATTCGAATTCTGAAGAATCATCTGATGAAGAAGATAACTTAGTGGAAAATAAAAACTGTGAAAATTTAAATAATAACCAAGAAAATATATTATTGACTGTAGATACCAATTACCAATGCGAAGAGACAATCTAACCTGTTTTCTTTTAGTTGAGGGAGATCCTTGAGATAATGGCTCTAGATCATTAGCCAAACGCGAAAAATTGACAAATTTTGGTAAACTTCAATTAGGTGTAACAGAAAAAATAAAGAGAGGTATATATTACCATATCGCTCTCCCTATAGAAATTGAAATGAAAGAATATTTATCTGATACAATAAACAGAATTAAATCTACAATTATTTCAATGAAAAACTTATGTGAAGAATTAAAATTTAAAAGTATCAGTATTGCAAAAACAGCCCAAATAAACAATGTAACTTGGGACGAAATCCTATCAATAATAAAATTAATTTTTGAAAATTCATTTGTAAAAGTTGTTGTATGTAATGGATATACAAAATATCCTACAAAAGAAGAATATATGCAGTTAATCGAAGAAGCTCATTCAAGCTCAGTTGGAGGACATAAAGGTGTAACAAAAACATATGGCAGAAAACGTCAAAATTATTATTGGGAAAACATGAAAAATAATATTCAAAAATATATTCAAAGTTGTCTCCAATGCCAATTAAAGAAATTAGTTAGAGTTAAAACATAAGACCCAATGATTATAACAGATACACCAGGTACAGCATTTGAAAAAATTGCAATGGACATTGTTGGCCCATTACTAAAAACCAAAACGGTAGTGAATATATATTAACAATACAGGACAACTTAACCAAATATTCATTAGCAATCGCACTTCCAAATCATCAAGCAAGTACAATAGCTGATGCATTTATTAAAAGATTTATTTGTATTTTTGGATCACCCAAAGGAGTGTTAACAGATCAGGGAACAGATTTTTTAAGTAATTTAATGAGAAGATTAGCAAAGAGATTTAGAATTCGACAATTTAAAACAACCGCTTTTCACCTTCAGTCTAATGGATCAATTGAAAGATCTCACTACGTTTTAGGAGAATATTTAAAACAATTTATAAATAAAAATGAAGAATGGGATGATTGGTTAGAATTAGCTATGTTCTCATATAATACAAGTATTCATGAAGGGACAAAGTGTACTCCATACGAATTAATTTTTGGGAAATTAGCACGATTACCGTCAAGCGATCCGCCACTTGAACACGAAAAATTAGAAACTTACGACCATTATTTAACAGATTTAATAACAAGACTTCATGAAACGAGAAACATCGCTAGAGAAAATTTGATTTTAGCAAAAAAAAGTCAAAAATCTATTATGATAAAAATTGCAATCCACAAAATCTTAAACTCGGAGAGGAAGTATTTTTATTACACGGGGGGAAAATTCATAAATTTGCTAATCAATATACAGGTCCACACAAAATACTAGAAATTTTAAACAAAGGAAACGTTAAAATACAAGTTAAAAATAAACAAAAAATAGTACATACGAACAGACTGAAACAATCGCGAATTAAACAAGAGTAATAAAATATTTTTATAATATATAGTTTTATGTTTTCGGAAGCGAATTCAAAAGAAAAAGAAATTAATTTGTTTTCATTAAACTAAACTTTTATAAATGATAAGCAAATGTTTAATTATTTTTTTTTTCACTATAACAATAATCTAATATTCGCAAGTTTAAATTAAATTTTTATAACATTTTATCAATTTTTGATTTTGTAATGATTTGATCTTAAATCTTAAACACTGTTCTGCATACTTGTTTTGCACTAAAAGAAATCAAAACTCTTCTTTTTTTAACACATTAAAATAAACTCTATACCTTATTTAATATAATTTTACTAAAGAAGAATTTAAAATGGTATTTTTCAAATTTATAATAACAAAACAAGGTTACTTCGAAATTTTACCTTATTATTGACTGAAGAGTATTATCAAGAAAAAAGCTATTTAAATAGAAAAAAGTATTACAACCACAGAGTTTAAGAACATTTTTAAAAACAAGGTTTATCTGAAACTCGAAAAAACAAAATTTCCTTCCTTCTCAAACACTTAATGATTTATGTCTAAATGTAACTTAAGAACGAAAGAAAATTGCATAAATGAAATAACTAAAAGCGACGGAAATTAAGAAATAAACATTTAAAAATTGTCATGTCAAAAAAAATGTGTCATTAAATATTTTTCTGTTTGTAAAAATTGAAAGTAGAAAATTTTTGCTTATAAAGGTTAAATGATTTAAAAAATATATAATAAATAATAAAATATTTAAAAAATCTTTAAATCTGCAATGAATTTCAATCATAAACAATTTTTAATTTTAGAGCAAAAATTTTGTCATAGTTTTAAGTCATACAAGACTCAAGTTTCAAAACCAAATTGTAAAAATATATTTTTTTAATGCAATTTCAAAGCAGACTATAAAAAATTATAATTTGTTAATTTCGATACAACATTTTACAAAAAAGCAATCCTTTGTATAGAACAAATTATTTTTCTTTTTGTAGATAAAAATTGTAAGCATCAAATTGTATCAAACATAAAATTCATTATATAAAATTAATACATAAAATATTTACATAAAATTCATTGTATACTGTGAATTTAAAAGAATGATTTAAAGAACATACATTAATAGCAAAAATAATTATTATAATTCAAATAAAAATCATATATAAAGAATGGATGGAATGCGTGCATCTTAATTCAAAGAACATACACTAATAACAAAAATAATTATTGTAATAAAAATCTAGTGCTCTACAATAAGGTTTAAATGAATTTTTTTTAAGAACGCAAGAATGGATGGAGTACAATAATTCAAGGAACATAAATTAATAACAAGAATAATTATTATAATTCAGATTGTTTAAAAACTTGCTAAATATACTCAACGATGAATCATTGTTGTTTTCTCCCTCCTTACTCACTTTGTGTCTTTCTCCTTGTGACCTCTGGATCACAGTGTTTTTATTCTGTCATGTCTCCTCTCTTGTTTTATGTCATTAACATTGTTATCGCATTTAGTTCGTTTCCCATCCTTAACACCTATACAGAGCCCCTTCCGTGAGCATTTTACAAGTCAATAGGCGGAGCCTGTTTTCAAGAGTTACCTACGATAGATGGTTTAGTTTTGCCTCTGAGCTTGGACTGATACGGACGTCTACGATTTCGCTCCTGAGTTGAGAGAGTGCCTGCTACTTCCACAAGGGAGTCACCTCATGGCTGCCAAGGATTCCGGACGTCTACGATTTCGATCCTGAGTTGAGAGAGTGCCTGCTACTTCCAAAAGGGAGTCACCTCATGGCTGCCAAGGATTCTGGAAATGGGAACGTCACAAATTACTGAGAATTATCAGCCAAAATTCTTTTCCAACTACTTGGTGAGCTCGTTCCAATTTTGATAACTGTTCCTTTGTTTTAATTAGTTAGACCTTTTCTGTTCACTTGTTTATGATCATGCAGCTCCATTATGAGATCAGTTCGACTGCATGATCATTGTTATTTCTTTTCTTGAACACTTGTTTCCATCGCACCCGACCTCTGAGATCCCCCTCTGGTTTCATTTCGGTCTCAGATCCGTCGGTCTTGCCTAAAATTATCGACTATTGATGTTCGTTATTGTATCACTATTCAACATGTTTACTATTTCAAATAAAAGAGATTTTATTATAACTCGTTCTCAATTAATTATTTGGCTCTAACCCTTTCCTTCCTTTTAACATTATTTTTGGTCCTTCGAGCCGGATAATTAATTGATTACAGAGTTTCACATTGTATAGGCGGAAATAATGATTCCTGGTACAATCGTAGCTCAGCTGGAGCATCAAAAATTAGTTTCTAGTCAAATCGCGAGTTCCTTTGATGATCTTTATCATGGAGGTCGTGACCGAATCACTCGTCGTCGTCTCGATGCACGTTTATCCGCTTTAAATGAAGATTGGCAGGAGTTTTCTAGTAATCATAAATGTTTGGGTTTAGCTATTGCCGAGTTACCAGAAGATGTAAGAGGCGAAGTTAAAAATGATCCTTATTTTATAGAAAATTCTTTTCGAACAACCCGAGAAATCTTTTTAAATTCATTCGAAAAAATGACCACCCTTCTTGACGAGATTCAAGATGGTTCTTCATCCAGTGACCCATCTCAACACCTCCATGCTCCTTCATCGACATCACTTTACCATCGCCTTCCTCATATGGATCTGCCTAAATTTAATGGTGACTTTGCTGAATGGCTTACTTTTCGAGATATATTCATCTCCTTAGTTTTCAAAAATCAGTCCTTATCACCTGTCGAAAAATTATTTTATTTGAGGAGCAGTCTGACTGGTTCAGCTGCATTACTCTTGAAACATACCCCTTTAACTGGAGATAATTTTGAAAAGGCGTGGCGTGACTTGACTTCTTATTATGATAACAAAAGAATTTTAATTGATTCGACGTTATATTCACTTTTTTCTCTTAAATGTATACAAAATGAATCCGCGACAGAGTTAGAAGAGTTATATACATCAATACAACAAAATATTCGCTTACTAGAGACATTAGGACAGCCTGTTCAGCATTGGGACTCTCTCTTAGTTTACTTTACTACTCGTTGTCTTGATTCAAATACATATCGAGCTTGGGAGTTAGAACTTGGTTCGTCTACAGAATACCCAAAGTGGAGTCAACTCAGTAATTTCTTGGTTAGTCGGATACGTTCCTTACAGGCTCTTACTCGCGCGTCGTCATTCCAGTCAACAAATCAAATTCAAAGTGGACCAAAACTTCCAACTCCTTTATCTCACACGCGTCAGTCAAAATCTCACTCTGTTCAGCAGATAAACTCAACAGATTCAATAATGAAGACTTGTCCAATTTGTACAAATGATCATTTTACTTACAAATGCCCTGAATACACTTCAAAATCAACTGATCAAAAACTTAATGTTATTAAACAAAAAAATTTATGCTTCAATTGCCTCGGGACGCATTTAGTAAGGTCATGCCCTTCTTCGAGACGTTGTATTAAATGTGGAAAGAAGCACCATACTTCTATCCATACATTCACTCCTAAAGTTGCTAATGACCTCTCTGATAATTCTCCCCAGTATTCTACTCTAAAATCGACAGACGATTTATCAAACAAACAAGTCACTCACCTGAAACCACAAAACCCACCCTTTCGAACATCTATTCTTCTAGCTACAGCTCGAGCAAAAGTTGAATTGGAGCATGGTCAATTAATTTATGTTAGAATCCTTATTGATCAAGGCTCTGAAATATCTTTGGTTACTGAAAGCTTGGTGCAAATGTATCGTATTCCACGGCGGAAATCTTGTGTATCAATTATTGGAGCCGGTGCGCTACCCACAGGACGATCAAAGGGCTCAGTTAGTTTGAAATTAAAGTCGAATTATAATTCTGATTATTATTGCCTTATGATAGCCGAAATCTTACCCAAGTTGACTAGCATTATCCCGTCAAGTAAAGTCCACAATCCAACTTGGGAGCATTTGACAGAGATTGATTTAGCAGATCCAAATTTCTTTGATCCCTCCTCAGTAGATATTATTCTTGGTTCTGATCTCTACCACGAAATTATTGAAAATGGTCTAAAAAGAGGAAAAGAGGGAGAACCAATTGCCCAATTAACCAGTTTCGGATGGATTCTTTCTGGTCCAACCGGCCAAACTTCCTCAGTTAACAATGTTCAAGGATACCATTGTTCATGTGAGCGAGATTGGTATGCGTTAATTGAGGAATTCTGGCGTGAGGGAGAAGTTACCGATAGCAAACCACCTTTGACGCCGGACGAGGAAGAGTGTGAGAACCACTTTAGGTCTACACACAAAAGAGTCGACACCGGACAGTATCAAGTTAGGTTACCTTTTAAGGATTCTGTCACTTTGCTAGGTGATTCTAAACTAGCTGCTACCAAAGCTTTACATAAATTATTTCGACAATTTGCGACTAATCCCGTATTCTACAAGGAATATGCGAAATTTATTAACGATTATCAGCAATTAGGACACATGGCACTTATACCATCTCAATTTCCTGAACCGACTCCAGTGAATTACATCCCACATCATGGAGTTTTTTCGCATGATTTTAAGTTACGTGTTGTATTTAACGGAACTGCTAAGGTATCCAACGGAACCCCCCTTAATGATCTTTTTCACATTGGTGCTAAACTTCAAATAGATTTAGTTGATGTCTTACTTTACTTTCGCCAATTTCGTTTCGTGTTCTCTACAGACGTAGAAAAAATGTACCGTCAAATTCTGGTACACCCTGATGATTGGTGCTTTCAACGAATTTTATGGAAGGATTCTTTAGGTAACATCGAAACATACAATTTAACCACAGTCACTTATGGTCTGTCCTGTTCTCCCTTCCTTGCCTTACGAACAGTAAATCAATTAATAAACGATGAAGGGGAAAATTTTCCACTTGCTGTTCCGGTTTTAATGAAAGGTCGATATGTAGACGATACATTTGGTGGAGGCGACACAGTACAAGAAAGCCAATCAATTGTACAACAGGTCACAAATTTGTGTATGGCGGGCGGCTTCCCACTTCGGAAGTGGATTAGTAATCACCCAGACATATTAAACAGTATCCCCGCAGAACATAAATTACCCATAGATTCATTATCAATAGATAATCCCATATCTATATCTGCATTAGGATTATCCTGGCAGCCTTCAGAGGACATTTTCACATTTTCTCCTATTACCGTAGAAGCAGCTCCTTTCACGAAACGATCAATTTCTTCAAAAATCGCACGCCTATTCGATCCCCTCGGCTTTATTGCTCCTATTGTTATTAAGGCTAAAATACTTCTCCAAAAATTATGGATTATTGGGGTTGGGTGGGACGAACCTATTCCAAAAGACATGATTGATGAGTGGGTTAAATTTATTCAACAATTGTCTGATCTTAAGCAGTTGCGGTTTCCTCGATGGATTGGTATCACTGGTAATTGTAACTTTCAACTGCATGGGTTTTCCGACGCGTCTCGTGTTGGAATCTCAGCAGTATTATACTTAAGAGTGTCTCTGAATAGTAATGTAACGGTTTCATTTGTGTGCGCCAAAACGAAGGTTGCCCCTATTAAAAGGCTCACCATCCCTCGATTAGAGCTTTCTGCAGCTACTCTTCTCACACGATTAACGAATCATGTATGTCGAACTCTTGACCTCAACAACCCACCCCTCTTTTTATGGACTGACTCTGCTATTGTTCACACTTGGGTTAATAATCACCCTTCCAAGTGGAAAGACTACGTGCATAACCGTGTATGTTTTATACAAGAGACGTTGCCACTAGCTCAATGGAAATTTATCCCTGGCATGGATAACCCAGCTGATTGTGCCTCTCGTGGAATGACCCCAATCGAACTGTTAGCAAATAAAAAGTGGTGGAATGGCCCATCATGGTTGGCTGCTGAACCAACATATTGGCCTGGCAATATTCCAGCAAAACCTCTAGATAATCTATTAGAAATCAAACAAACTAATTCAGTTAATGTGATACGTACTCCAGTCCCGAAACTTTGGAGCTTAATAGAACGCTATTCGAGTTTTACGAAATTGTTACGCATTACGGCCATTTGTTATCGAGTAATAAAAAAATTTCGACATAGGTTTGATGGACCTATAACATCTCCACTAACCCCTGAAGAATTAGTTGATGCCAAATATTACTGGGTTCATCAAGTTCAACTTGCCTTTTATCCCAATGAACTTACTACTCTTTCCAATAAAGAAAATCTCCCTAAACAGAATTCTTTAATTCGGTTAATGCCATTTATCGATGAGAAAGGGATTCTTCGAGTAGGTGGAAGGTTGATAAACTCTGAACTCAGTTATGAAAACAAACATCCCTTCATCCTTCCGCGTACGTGTTCGTTATCTAATCTTATTATCTCTGATGCACACTCTAGGACGCTTCATGGATCTACGCAATCCACCCTAACCTATATTAGGACCACCTGTTGGATTGTTGGTGGTAGAGCACCGGTACGCTCTTTAATATTAAAATGCATCAAATGCTCCATATGGCGGAAAAAAAATGCTCAACAAATGATGGGCCAGCTTCCCTTTACTCGGGTGACTCGAGTTGACCGACCATTCATTCACACTGGACTTGATTACGCTGGTCCCTTTAGTCTAAAAACGTGGAAAGGGCGGGCGGCAAAATTATACAAAGCATATTTTGCACTCTTCGTGTGTCAATCTACTTCCGCAATACATATTGAACTCGTCACCGATTACACAACCGAGGCCTTTTTAGCAGCTTACCAACGTTTCGTGTCTCGACGGGGTATTTGCCAAACCATCTCGAGTGATTGTGGCACAAATCTGAAGGGCGCGGATGCTGAATTAAAAAGGTTATTCGCGAAAACTTCTTATGAACTAGGCAATTTAGCATCGTTAATTGCTAACGATGGCACTAAATGGCTATTCAACCCTCCAGCAGCCCCTCATTTTGGTGGCAAATGGGAGGCTGCGGTAAAGTCCGTCAAGTATCACCTCCGCAGAGTTGTTGGTGACACACTTTTAACCTACGAAGAAATGACAACCCTTCTCACTCAAATTGAAGCAGTGCTTAATTCTAGACCACTTTGCCCCATTACAGATGATCCTGATGACCTATCTGTCTTAACCCCTGGCCACTTTCTAATCGGAACTTCGTTAACTGCTACACCGGAACCTACTTTAGAAGGGATAAATATCAATAGACTTAGTCGGTGGCAGCGTATTCAGCAAATGAGAGAGACTTTTTGGACGAGATGGTCACGCGAATGTCTTCAGCGTTATCAGGCAGTATATAAGTGGAATCACGAAAAGGAAAATATCTCGATTGGAACCATTGTATTGATTATGGATGAACGTTACCCCCCCACAAAATGGCCACTCGGACGTATAATACAGGTTCACCCAGGAAAGGATGGTCGGGTTAGAGTTGCAACAGTGAAGACTGAAACTAGTACAGTTACAAGACCAATTGTCAAACTTTGCCCTCTTCCTGTAGAAACTAGTGCCGAGTAATTTCGTTTTTGTCAATAACGAAGGCGGGCGGAATGTTTAAAAACTTGCTAAATATACTCAACGATGAATCATTGTTGTTTTCTCCCTCCTTACTCACTTTGTGTCTTTCTCCTTGTGACCTCTAGATCACAGTGTTTTTATTCTGTCATGTCTCCTCTCTTGTTTTATGTCATTAACATTGTTATCGCATTTAGTTCGTTTCCCATCCTTAACACCTATACAGAGCCCCTTCCGTGAGCATTTTACAAGTCAATAGGCGGAGCCTGTTTTCAAGAGTTACCTACGATAGATGGTTTAGTTTTGCCTCTGAGCTTGGACTGATACGGACGTCTACGATTTCGCTCCTGAGTTGAGAGAGTGCCTGCTACTTCCACAAGGGAGTCACCTCATGGCTGCCAAGGATTCCGGACGTCTACGATTTCGATCCTGAGTTGAGAGAGTGCCTGCTACTTCCAAAAGGGAGTCACCTCATGGCTGCCAAGGATTCTGGAAATGGGAACGTCACAAATTACTGAGAATTATCAGCCAAAATTCTTTTCCAACTACTTGGTGAGCTCGTTCCAATTTTGATAACTGTTCCTTTGTTTTAATTAGTTAGACCTTTTCTGTTCACTTGTTTATGATCATGCAGCTCCATTATGAGATCAGTTCGACTGCATGATCATTGTTATTTCTTTTCTTGAACACTTGTTTCCATCGCACCCGACCTCTGAGATCCCCCTCTGGTTTCATTTCGGTCTCAGATCCGTCGGTCTTGCCTAAAATTATCGACTATTGATGTTCGTTATTGTATCACTATTCAACATGTTTACTATTTCAAATAAAAGAGATTTTATTATAACTCGTTCTCAATTAATTATTTGGCTCTAACCCTTTCCTTCCTTTTAACACAGATAAAAATAAAGTTTGAATGAAATTTTTTTTTTGAATGCATAGAATACATACATAAACAAGTAATAACATCTACTCTACAATATCAATGTAATAATAGTTTGAGCATGTTTCGTTTCTCTCCCATGCTCAATCTAAAGGGGGTAGGTGTTACGTCCGTAACTTCTTGTTAATATACCTAATTTAACTTCGATACTTATGTATGTATTTCCTATTTTTTATATTGTATTTTACTTATATGTCATATTATCATTCTATGTATTTCACATTATTGCATTATAATTAGCATATTTTATATATCTCATATGTATCTAAACAATTTGCAAGTATAATGAATTCAAGAAAGATGAGTAATATTTTAAATCATGTAAAAAGAATAACGATAGTGCATCAGTTAAACGACCTTCAAAAAATCTTCGCCACAGCCAGGAAAACAAACAAGCATTGCAGTCGCCGATACCCCCACTTAAAATCTACCCAAAATCGACACGTGTAGAAGAGTCAACAGTCGCCCCGAATTGCAGCAGCATTGCCGTCGCCCGACACCCCCACTTAAAATCTACCCAAAATCGACACGTGTAGAAGAGTCAACAGTCGCCCCGAATTGCAGCAGCATTGCCGTCGCCGAGACCCCCACTTAAAATTCACACTTGAATGATTTCAAAGCATTACATTAATGAAGACAGTTTTATATAAAAGGAATACAAATTCTGCAGATATCAGAGAGTAACTATTTAGAAATTAACCTGAACACATCGTTCAGAACAAGAGACTAGAGAGTAATTTTTTGGGAATCAACCTGTACACATCGCTCAGTCATTATCAAATTGTCTACAAGTAAACATCGCATAGTTTACAAGTGAATTAAAAGTACATCTTTGAAAGTGAAACGTATAACCCCAAGTATTATTTTGAACGTACATTATAAAAAGTGAACTATTTCCCCAAGTATTAAATAAGAAGTGAACTTTAAACAACCTCTTATAATAAATTTGCAAAGTATAAATTTTAAACAATTTCCAAAAATATTAAATTGGAAATAATCTCAACTATCAACGAAGACCTAATATTGAAACAACACATTCCAAATTTCGAACCATGGAAATTTGCTCAAGAGGCGACAACCGTCTGGAAGGAAGCAGATATTTTAACAATACAATACACTATCTCATTAGTGTAAACAAGAGGTCTAATACCCAACCACTAAGGACAACAAACAAAAAGGCCCCTTTTCGTCTACCGCTCATCACCATTGAGATCGGACAACAGATTATCATCACACCACCAGTAATCGTTATTCTTTAAGTAAGATTCATAATTTTTGTACTCATTGTAATTTTGTCAACTCTTTTCTTTCTTGTTGGTTTTTAAATAAATTATTCTCTCACATTTAGTAGGCTCATTGACTTATCCTCATCCCAAATTGGATTCATTTATGAAACCAATTTAAAACGAGGAACGTTAGGTATATTTAAAAAGGTTTCTCGTTTTGACGTAACACAGAAAAGAAAATATTTTGTTATTTTATGACAAAAATGACATTTTTCTGACATTTATTATTATTATAATATATGTTAAAAAGTATTTAAGAATTTTGGTAATTATGTCAAATGGGAATTTTTCGAGCAAATAAATTTTATGTTAAATAATTATCTTAATAAAGGAAAATTATGTAAAATGAAATTGTTATAATTTAAAATTTCTGATACAACATGACATTTTGAATATTGAAATGTTATGTTTTATGTCACTTAATAATTCGAGTAAATAAAAATTATGACAATTAAATTTTGTATAGATTAAAATTTTTCAATAATGACATTTTAAAGATTTAAAGGTTACATCACATAAAAATTCTGGTAAATGCATATTATATCATTCCACTTCCATGCATTTCAAGACGGTCCAAATAAAAAAAGTATTTTATTTGGCCCGTCAGAATGACAACAAATTAGATGTGATTAATAACAGTAGATTATTTAGTTTATTATTATTACTATTTTTACAAATAGATTAATTTAATAACCAGGTACTATTTTTTGCACGAAATTTGACAGGTAATGCAATACAAAAATTATATTCTTAGAAATTGTAATAAAATTCTTTGAAAGGTTTCAATTATTTTCAAAAATTATAAACGAATTTTTTTATAAAGGAATCAATTATTTTGCCAAAATAAATACATTTTTCGCAAGAGTTCAATTATTTTTATAAATAAAAAAATATTTTAATAAATTAAATTAATTAAAAAAAAATATAATAAAATTCTTCTCAAACATTCAATTATTCGATTTAACTTAAAAAAAATGTTATAAAATCCTTTGGAAAAATTCAATCATTTTGAGAATTACAACTTTTCACTGGAATTCAATTATTTAACATACAATTGAGGCCTTGGATCCAATAACTCGCCCGACGCTCGAAGACACGCGCTAATACCAGTCGGGTAGCAGTGAGTGGCCCAGAGGCGCTCACTGCTCACTGACTGTCAGTTGCGCGTTCCTCCGAGCGTCGGGCGAGTTATTGGATCCAAGGCCTCAATTTTTATTAACTTTTTCTAAAAATAAACTCGCATATTTAAGGAAATGTAATAATTATTTCAAAAAAAATCTTTATAAAATTATTTATAAGAATTCAATTTTCAGAATTATTAAATTACTTGATAAATTTTTTATTTTTGTATTTAAATAATTTAATTTTCGTACAACTATAAATAAGAATTGATTGTAAAATGAATATTTGAATTTTCAAAAATAAAAATAAATTTTCCAATTAATTGAAAATTTTTGTCAAATTTCATTAAATTAAATTTTACATTTAATAAGAATTTTATTTTTTATTTTTTATTGTTTATACTCCTGCCCTATTGGCCTTACGCACTTTGACAAGAGTCCCCGAGAAATACTTTTTTGGATTAAGCATAACCATTCTACTTTAGAAATTTTTTCTATATATTAACCTAATTTTGCGTCTACAGCCGACTTTATTAGGAGTACTCGCATTACGCCTGGACCACCCGTCAATGGGTTTTCTCGCCAGAGAAGAGGGAAACTGTAGAAAACCTCTCTGAGTACAACCGGTTTATCGACAGTCGAGTTCTAATGGTGTGTACCGGACAATAATCGACGGTGCACATCATTATACCTCGACGTCAAACCTCCCGCTCAGATTGTCTCACGTGCCGGAAAAATACCAAGCCAAGTGGGCGCGAACCAAGGGTACTTATACTTATTTATTATAAATATTGATTTTCAAAATATTAATTTCAATAAAATAATTTTTACATAAAAAATCTAAATGTTTACAATTTGTATTTTTATTTTGAGGTTAAAACATACATAACCTGCATGTCAAAATCATGTAAAAATAGTACCTGCGGATTTTTAATTTAAATTACATTTGTAAAAATAGTAATAATAATAAACTAAGTAATCTATTTGTTAGAAAAAATTAATTACAGCTAATTTGCAATCTGATGCGCCAAATAAACTACTTTTTTTATTTGGAAAAAAACTGTCTTGAAATATATGGAAGTGTGGTGACTGGCCAAATAGACACTGCCTTGTTTTATTATGTATACCTATAATATTATTATTACAAAAAAATATCTTTTCTTACCTGCTTATGCAAGTTCGATATACTTTCTTGGCCTGGAATATGTTGTGTACCAACGCCAAGAAGAAACAAAACAAATTTGTTTTGTTCCAAAAGCACAATATATAAATTAATGAATTGATTGAGCAAATAAAAACAGCACAATTTTGCTTTTAACAGCACAATTTTTTGTTTTTAAAACAGTACAATTTTGTTTTTAAAAAAACAGCACAATTTTATTTTTATATTTTTTATATAATATATATAATACACAATAAAGTTGAAGAACACCAATATATATCCTTTATATATAACAAAAAACGCCCAAATTTTTATTTTTTTCTGTATAATATATATAAAAGAAAAAAATATGTGACGTTCCACTGCTAAATGTGATGTGACAATGAACTAAATGCGTAATATACGAATTTTACGAAAGAACATTTCAAGTATAGCGCGTGTTTGTATCTCATTCGTTTCAGATGACAATTTTGAAACTTTTTTTTTTCTGTTAT